TTCTTTCTTTCTTTCTTTCTTTCTTTCTTTCTTTCTTTCTTTCTTTCTTTCTTTCTTTCTTTCTTTCTATTTACATCAAAGTCTGATGTCATTGAACTGTAAATGACCAAGAATTATCCCAAGAAGCAAAATTATTTAGAGATAGTTTCATAGAAAAAAAAAATGATGTCACATGTGAATCCTTTTTATTACAGTATTCTAAGACAATCTATTTATCATTAGAAATAGATAAAACTGGCAAGAGACCATTTCCATATTCCACATAGGGTCATTATTATGGTTTTAGTGTCATAATTCTGAGTATTCCAGAGACTAAGATATTTTTTTTTCTGTATACATTACAGTGCCTGAGAGAGGTTATATGGTACTTGACTAATTTTACAAAATGTTATATTTAAAGGAAGGTGGTCATTCCCCTTGGCACACTCTTTTGAGGTGGGCCAATGAAAAATAGACTTTTTCTTTATTTTTCAGAGTTACTCTCAAATACAATAAGACTATTCATTTTAAGTGATAGATTTCTACCACCATGCATGGCAACTAATAGCCTACTGACTTCAGTCTTTGTTCTGTCCTGTTAAAATTTTTATAAGTAATCTTAATAAAAATTAGATGGCTTAAATGAAAGTGCAGATTTCATTCAGCAGGTAAATTTGACAAGATGCCATTTCACGTCCTTTTCAACTCTAAAATATTAAGATTCTGATAGAAAATCATAGAATGTGATAGCTAAAAAGGACCTTTGAGATCCTCTCATCTAAACTCATTATCTTAGAAGATATCCAGAGAGGCAGAGTGATTTGTTCAAATTCATGCAGTGAATTAATAGACTCAGGGCTAGAATCAGATGTCTTCACTCTTGGTCTAGTATTCTTCCATTGCTATGCAATCTGTCTATATGAGTGACTTCCTGGTTGAAGAAGAGGAATTGATTTAAATTAACTTAAGTCATTTGGTTGGTGAGGATAAAACTAAGGCAAAGTTAGAGGAAATTCATTGTGGGAGAACTGAGCTGAATTATTTTGCTCTAATTTTTTATTTATTTATGTTTTACTTTAATATAGCTGAACAAGTGTTTAGAAGTCCAACATAGCCACATAATCAAATATAAAAGTAATATAAACTGTTCAACCTTATAATCATCAAGTGCCAAGCCCTTGAGAGATAGAAACAGGTTTACTAGGCCTGTAATGGGAATGATGAATACAATCCAATCCTTAGAAGAATGGAATGTGCAACATTTATGGACACAAACAAAATAATCTCAAATACACAAAAAAGATACTGTGTTTATTTTACCTGATAGTTTTGTATCAGTACAAGATTGATGTCACCATCAGAACAACATTTTGGTTTGCACAAAGATCCTTAACTTGATCAAAAATAATTGCTACTTTTATTCATTTACCACTCCATATGTGGCAAGCGATTGGGTATCATACATATAATTTCTTTTCATCTGTAAAACCATTTTATGAGGTTGATACTCTTAGAATTTTCATTTCAAAAATGAATGAGCCAAGGCATAGACATTTAGGGGAAATGTTCAAGGTTTGTGATTGTAAATCTTGGCTTGGAATCGTAACTGAAGAACACTTCCTTGTATTTAATTTCTTCTTCACAACAATTTTTGATATTCCACCCTCTGGTGGTAAGGAAGTGCTACTGCAGCTGCAATCACTTCTATTTCAAGACCAGGAGATACCAGGGAATTGTTCAACCATTTAGTAGAAAAGTATCCAGTCACCATAAGCAATCATGTGACTATTTCTACCTATATCACAAGAAAACTAAGAAATAGACTACATAATTATCACTGTTCAAATGCCTACAAAGCGAACACTTAGTTTTTAATAGTTTGCTTGAAAACAGTCTGAAGGTGACCAGTTGTCCTAGCATACATCAT